ATTCCTGTGTAATCCATCTGGCAATGATAGTTGTCATTTGTGTTGTTGAAAAAAAGTATTTGCAAGGAATAAGCCATTGATGCCGCAGAATTTTAGCATGTACTCTCTGGCATCATTCCTATCATCAAGGCCTCATTTCCCAACTATGGATTTTCTTTTTTTGGTTTGTTTCCAATTTTTGCATTGCAAACTACATCTTGTCACTGCATTTTGGTTGTATGTTTGATCAATTTCAGACTTCAGCTGTTCATAAAAATCTTCTATGTCTTCATCTTTAGCATTTATGATGCATAAATTTGAATAGTAGTCATACTAACTCATCTTCCTTATAAACATGAATATTATCCTATCACTGGCAGCATTGTATATCAGGATAGATCCTGAAATGTTCTTTTTGATGATGTATGCAACACTTTTTGTCTTCAATTTGTCATTCCCAGCATAGTAGACAACATGATTGTTAGATTCAAAATGGCCAATTGCAGCTCACTAATGCCTAGGATATTGATCTTCAAGCATTCCATTCTGTTTCTGGTATCTTATAATTTTCCTTGATTGATGTTTTGTACATTCCATGTTCCAATTATGAATGAATGTTTACAGTTGTTGCTTTTCATTTTGAGTCATACCATATCAGCATATGAAGGTTGCAAAGGTGTTACTCTATCTGTTTCATTAGTGTCAACTCTTCTTTGAGGAGACAACTGAGGAAATACAATACAGTTGTATTTTGAAAGCCTTCTAACCAGTCTTTCTTCCAGCACTATATAGGGCAAGGTTCTGTTGTGATCCATAGGGTTTTCACTGGCTAATTTTCAGAAGTAGATCACTAGTCTTAATTTGGAAGCTCTGTTGAAACCTGTCCACCATGGGTAATCCTGCTGGCACTTGAAATACCAGTGGTATAGCTTCCAGAATCATAGCAACATGCAAGCCGTCACAGTACAACAAACTGACAGACAGATGATAGCTTATAAATAGACCGCTCCTTAAACTCTCCTCCATTACACAACCTGACTGTGTCAGCTGTGACCTGTTGCAATCCTGGCTGGCACACTAAATCTTCATATTCCCTGTGCTGCCAACCCAGAAACTCTGCCAGTAGAAGAAATTGTGGTTCCCTAGGTGTTGCTTCATTTCTTTTTCTTATTTCTTGTTTATTTATTGTGATTTGGGTGAAAATTTAGAGCAAATTGGTTTTCTATTCAACAATCCATACACATTTTGTTTTATGACATTTACTGCAATCTCCACACTGTAACAGTATTCTTCCCACCTCCCTGTGTCCACCTCTTCCCTTCTTCCTTCCTTCCCATCCCCTCCCAGCTTTCTAGCTCTATCTCTGGACAAATGTTCTTTTCTTGATCTCATAAGCTTGATTGTTCTAATGATTGCATCCAAAAACAAACAAACAGAAAAACCAAACTCACTGCCATCAAGGAGCTGATTTTGACTCATAAAGACCTCCTTTGGGTTTCCAAGACTATAAATCTTTGTGGAAGCAGACCTTCTCATCTTTCGTCCATGGAGTGGCTGATGGATTTGAACTATCAACTTTTGGTTAGCAGCTGAATGCCTTGATCACTACATCACCAGAGCTCTTTAATGACTGCATTGTTGTTGTTGTGTGCCATGGTGCCAGACCCGACTCATAGCGACCCCTCCTTGGGTTTCTGAGGTAATATCACTACAGAAGTAGATTGCCCAGCCTTCCTTCCGAGGAGTGGCTGGTGAGTTTGAACCACCAGCCTTCTGGTTAGCAGTCAAGAGCCTTAGACACTATGCTACCAGAGCTCCTGATACTACTGTTCACCTTGTAGGCCTGTCTCTCATTTTGTGGACAGTTGTGTCACAGGGCTTAAGTTCAATTCCTAGTTTGAAGGATGTCTAAAGGTCATAGTCTTGGGAGTTCCACCAGTCTTCATTAGATCAGTAAGCCTGGTCTTTTTGTAGTTTCATTTCTTAATACTCCACTTGAAGAGCATACCAGAGAGTTGTACAAACTTTTGTTTTTAATCAAGACAATGTCTTCTTCTTACAGCCCAGAGTCACAGCCCAAGTTCAGCCAGTTGAAAGGATGTAATTTGTTTGGTTTGAGAGCTGAATCTCCTTCTCATCTCCGATATTTGTATTCTTCTACTCTGGGATACCATGTGTGGATGAAAAGATGGAAGAAGAATAGAAAGGGAACTATTGATCTCACCTACCATCCTTAGAACAGATGCTCCATGCAGGCCTGGTTTGGTCTGTGAACACCATGCTCACAGGTTGTTGAAATTTTTCTCAGTATTATTTTTTCTTAACAAAACATTTTATTTTATACTTTATATTGATCACATAAACAAATCAGAGTGAGTTACTAAAGGTCTGTGGGACACGAGATTTTCAAACAGACAGGCTCAATTTACCCCTTTTATGTATGTGGTAGATTGAACAATTCCCCACCCCTTAGTCAAGGCCTTTGTGATGTGACTGTGCAGCTCCTCCTACCAAGCGACAGAGTCCATTTCCCACTCCTTGAAGCTGGGCTGGTCCTGTGATTTGCTTTGGCTACTAGAACGAGGTGACATAATGTACTAACTCTAAGCCTAGGCCTCAAGAGATGTAGCACTTTTCCACTCTCTTATAGGACTCTGCCATCACCACATAAATAAGCCTGGACTGGCCCGCTTAAGGATAAGAGAACATGTGGAGCAGTGAGGAGCCATCCCAGCTGAGCATATCCCAGACCAGCCAGCCCCCAGCTGACTTGGCAGCTGACTATAGGCACATGAGTAAGCCCAGCTGAGCCTGGCCAGCATCAGCTGAACCCCACCCAAATTGTTGACCCACGGAACCATGAACTAAAAAACTCATAGTTTTAAGCTACTTTGTTTGGGGGTGATTTTTACATAGCAAAAATTCTTGATCTTATCATTACTCTTGCATCAAGCCCTCCCAATTCCTCCCCAGAACTTTCTCCAAGATGGACCACATGCAACTCCATCTCTAATTATTATTTACATGAAGCTTTATATTATAATATCATTAAAATGAGGAAGAAGACCTGCAGCCAGAACAACTTAAATTTACAAAATCCAGCCTCAGATGGATTTTTTAAATTTGGTCCAACCACAGTTGTGTTTTTGGCTTACCTCAGTCTGGTGGGGTCAAAGTCCAAATACCAGTGCCCTCCTCACTTTTTCCCACAGGTCCTGATATCATGTAGGTACTCCCTTGCATTCACAAGCAGTGGATTCACACATTTGATTTAACCAACTAACCTGGGTATCGTTCCCTTATCTAATTTTATGCATTCCTCTTCTAAGTAATCTTGCCCCTGCACAGTCCTCAGCTCGACAGAAGACATGGAAATGTGGAGGCAAGTCATGAGTACTTCTCTGAAACTCTCCTGCATACAATGTCAATGCCATACTTTCCTTCGTTATTTTGCTCATGTGTGCCTTCTTGAAGTACAAGAAAGAACTGGTCCCACACAGTAGATATCTTCATTTCCGCCGAGAACCTGGTGATATTAGTCACATTTTCCAAGGGAACAACTTTCTCTTCTCTTTCCATTGATGTGGATTGAGAATAGTTGACTCAACCCTAGGTGCCAAAGGTGAGCACATGACCAGCCTGGCTAATTAGAGCACATACTCCCTGGACACAGTGATTGGTCCTTATTGGGGCACATGACCAGGAAAATCCCAATCCAAGACTTAAATTGAAATGGACAAGAAAAGTAAATCCCTGTTGTCACTGGGAATATTGAAAAGATAACAAATAACAAAGGAACATTAAAAAAAATTCTGAAAATATGTTGATCTATAACACAACTTATATTACACATTCCATAGAATAAATTCTTAACTATCCAAAAGAAAAAAAGGAAAAGAAAAGAAGAAGAAAGAGAGAAAAGAAGACATTATACTGCAGCTGCTATGCAGCCATCTTGTCACCATGATAAGAGATCCTGCCTGAAAATGAAGCTAACACATATGTAGGAGGTGGGGAGAGTGTTAACGACCTAATTTGAGCTGTTGGAGCAATCAGCCACTCCTAAAAAAAGCTAGCTATGGGCTTTTTTATTTTTTAGGTTTTTTTTTTTTCTTTGCCTGAACCGTTTCACATCACTGTTGCAAGCAAAGGTGTTCCAGCACATACTCTTCCCTTTATACAAATTAGAACTTATCACTGTTAAATGACAATTTGTATGAAATTCAAGAAAAGGGAAAACTGATCTATGGTGATAATTTTCACCTGAGGTATGGGAGAATTGCCTGGGAAAAACAGGAGGGAACTTTCCAAGTGATGTTTGATTGAGGTGTGAGTTAGATTAGTGAATACTTTGTCAAAGCTTATAAAACTGGTCCCTTAAAATCTCTGTTTTTGACTGTACATAAATTGCACCTTGATTCGGAAAACAGTGGAATCAATATTCCTTTCTCCACAACCCCCCCCATCTCAGGAATGTCACCTGTGAGGTTAGTGTCATTTCCTCACTCTACTTTACTATATACTTTTCCCACACACCTCTGCCTTCAGTGGAGGCCTTAGGGTTTGTGGCAATTTTAAAACAGCCAGAAATTCTTTGATACCCCTTCATGGAGAGGTGGGGTCTAAGCCCCTGCCCTTGAACTTAGGTAGGCTTGTGACTGCTTCAACCTGTCAACACTGTGCAACTTCCCAAGCTCTGAGTGGCAACATCTGCCTCATGTGCTGCCATGCCTGCTGGCTCTCAGAGCCCTAACTCGTGGTTGGCGCAGCCCACAGACACTCATAGACAGCTCAGCCCAGTGCCAGGCATGGAGTGTAGGTGCTGTCCTAAATATGGACATTCCTGCCCAGCAAGTCTAGCTCCAAGTCTTCCAAGATGAGGCCTGCCTACATGTGAAACAGGAGTTACCTTACTAGGCTGTCTCAATATCTGATGAAGAAAAAATGGTGGCTGTCTTATGCCATTCAATTCTGTGGTGTGACTGGAACAGAATATAGGACCCCTCTGCTCCTGATCTTACCTCACAACATCCACCGATGCAGCCCCGGACTTAAAGAAATCAGTGGAGTCCTCAACTTTCATGACATTGGGGAGGATCCTCTGCCAGACACTCTGAAAAATAAGGTTCAATGAGGACAAAGTTCCTTAAGGAGGGGGCCAGTGTCATAACCAAACCAAACTCACTGCCATTGGGTCGTTTCTTTTTCTTTCTTTCTTTTTTTTAAATTGTGATTTGGGTGAAGATTTACAGAGCAAATTCACTTTCCATACAGCAGTTCACATATACTTTGTTTCATGTCATTGACCACAGTTTACCACAATGCAACAGCTCCCCTCCCACTTCCTCCCCATAGTTACCTCTTCCAAGTGTCCATCCCTCCATACACTCCTGCCCCCTGAGCTATCTCCCTGTGCATAAGCAGCCCTTCTTTCTCCCATGATTGTTCTCTCCAAGGAGTGTATCTACTTGAGGTAAATGTTCAACTCACATGCCTGTATTTTGTTTGGCTGGAAACCACAGGTGCGGGTTCAATTCCAGACCTGAAGGGCATTGAATCTTTTCTGACTCACAGCGACCCTCATTGGATTTCCAAGGCTGTTAATCTTTGCAGAAGTAGATCTCCCCATCTTCCGTCTGTGGAGCAGCTGGTGGGTTTGAACCACTGGCCTTCTGGTTAGCAGTCAAGTGCTTTATCCACTATGCCACCAGAGCTCCTTCATGTGGGCAGTGTCATAGCAGATAACAATGGCTATCAGACCATCCTGATGGCCTGGAGCAGGCTCCAGCTCCTTCTGTCCACGATGACAAAGCTCCCCCCAAGAAGACATCAGTCCTGGAGTGACCTCTCTTCCGGCAAGTGGAGCAGCTCAGGCCTCTGACACAGGGGCTGCTGTCCTCATGTTCACCTCATGAGTCCCCAGCCTGGAATCATGGGTCAGTGTTTCCGTGGAGTCCCAGGGGCAGCAGAAGGATGGCTACACCAACCAGTGGCATGACTGGGTCCTGATAGCAGACCCAACCACGCTATACCTACATCACACCCAGGGTTTTACCTGGGTGGCTTGAATCTGACATTGGCATGTGTGGCATAGCAGGGAAGAAGGCACAGTGGGGGCAAGTGGTTCTGAAGGGTAGACATGAGCAACATGGAGGTCAGGCATGAGCAGTAGGCAGGGCAAAGGAGTAGTTCTTAGGACAACTGGTTCTTGTCCTTGCTGAGAGAACAAATTCCCTGTGAACAAGGCAAATCATCCACCCTTCCTGTGACTCCAAAGAGATCCTGTGGACCAAGAGGAACAATGATGTAGAGAGTGCAGTAAAATGTGCACGGTGCCCTTGTGTTCAGTCAACAAGACCACATGGCAGGTCAGAGATGGACAGCTATTCTCTGGACAGCTCCCAGCTGGGTCTGTCAGGAGAGGAGCTCATGAGGCCCCAGTTTCCAAGCACCAACAATTCAGCCCTTTTCTGGCCACATTCCAGGCTGTGGCACTCCCTGGCCTGGTTTGGAGGGCCAGGCTGGAGGCACAAGATGCTAGGATGGGGCTTATTAACAACCAGGATCCCCAGTGGTTTTAACCCACCTTCATCCTGGTCTCGTTCTTCCTCTCTTGGGAAGGGATCAAACATCTAGTGGTCCTCCTCACTGTAACCACCAGCAGCCAGGTTGAGCTGCTCCTTGTTCATCATGAGGACTGCCTGCCCCTTCTGTCCCTACCTGTGAAGTTCTTCCCTAAAGCCTTTGTGGACCCTTGGGAGCAGTGACTGTCCCTCCCCAGACTTCTGCAACACTGGGGCTCAGTCATCACTGGCTGTGAGTGCTGTCAGACTGGCCTTGGGAAGCCTGAGCACATAGTGAATACAAAAGGAACCTAGCAGAGGCAGTGTGGTGACTAGTCACTCTGTGGACCCCTAGCCACACAGCTCCCACCCAAATTCCAGCCCTGTCACTCATAAGCTTCTGTGCCTCCATTCCCTCACCTATAGAGGAACTGATAAAATCATAAGGATTAAATGCATGACTATAAGTAGAGCTTAGAAGAGTGCCAAGCATGTAGGATACTCCTTGACCACAGCACAGTCATGGCCCAGGAACGTGTAAGGGGCAGACTGGTTGCTCAGTACCTTCTCAGCCCATGGGGATATTTGGGGGCATTCACTAAATGGAGACCCCTGCTCTGACTACCAGCTGGGCCCTCACCACTAACCCTTGATACTACCACATCTCCCAGACCAACCTGCCTCTCCTACTCCTGACTGTGCCCTTCCTTCCTATTTGCTTCCAGACTATAGATTCTGAAACTACTCAGCCCAGGCCTGGCCAGGAAGCATGACAATCATGATCATAACAAAGTATGGCAGTTAAGAGTGGGACCATTGGGGTCCAGCCCCAGAACCGTCATCCTCAGCTATGATTCTATTTATCTGGGCCACAGCTTCCTCCTCTGTGAAAGGAAGACTCTAACAGCATCCACTTCACAGAGTTGCTATAATAATCAAACATGTTGCTATTCCACAAGTACTTTACATAGGTTCATATTCTAGAAGTTTCTGTTTGTTTATGATTCTTAGCATCACTGCTAACACTTACTGAGATTCTGAGAGATGCCAGCCACAAAACAAAGCCTTTTCATTCACATTATCACATTCAATAATCACATTGAAACCCACCCACTGCCATTGAATTGATTCTGACTCAGTGAGTGACCCTTTAGGACAGAATAGAACTGCCCTAAGGCTGTAAATCTTTACAGAATCAGATTACCCTTTCCCCCACAGAATGGCTGCTGAGTTCAAACCAGTGTCCTTTTGGTTAGCAGCTGAATGCTTTAACCACTGCACTCAGCTTCTCAGAGCTCCTTAATATCCATTAAGGTGGGGTTCATTTTAACAGATGAAGGAATTAGTTGTAGATAATTCAGGACAGTATATTTCAACCAAGCCCTTAAAAATTACCTCCAATGTTCAGCTCTAAAAATAGACTCTCTCCTCCTATCTGAGTGTCACTGGACTGTAAGCCCAGAAAGTCATTTGTCCAGCTGGCCCTATAACACCAGGGCCAGGCACAGAGCCGTGGAAAGAACAGTTGCTCCAAGAACATGTTTTGGAGCACCAGGTCTTTTTGACATACATTCATGGTTCTCAGCCTCCAAGAAAGGACACTTTGGGCTTCCCAGTGCCCCTGGACCAGTGGAAATGTTTCATGGCCCGCCCTTGCTGATCCTATCTTTGCATGGGTGGTCCAACCACAGTTCACCAGCCACACCCTGCTGACCCAGTCACCTGGGTTGTCTTGTCTGTAAGCATCTGCCACATGCCCTCCTTATGATCCCCTCAGATGCAGAAATGTCCCTCCCCACCAGGGCCTCAGTATTCACTGCTCCTAACTTCCCCTGTCCACTCATGTCTAAACTCAATGTTTCCTCTTCAGAATGGCATTCTCTGACCAACCCTTCTGAAGTTGTCGCCCAGCCTTAGCCCATCTCTCTCTCATCATCTTGTTTTATGTTGTCTATCTGCTGGATGGTTCCTTGGCTACATTCATGAGACTGTAAGCTCTATGACAGCAAGAGGATGGTCTATCATCACAGTCCTGGTATCCAGCCTAGTGTCTGGCACTTAGTAGGCTTCAATAAATATTTCTGAAATAAATAGTTGAATGAATGATTAAATCAATGACTGAATGAAAATCCATCCAGAGCCATACATTCAGGAAGGCATACTCCCAGGATGAGGGAGATGGTTGGAGGGAGAAGAAAGGGCCAGGAATGAGTTCTGGGAAACAACAGTTTACCTAATTCTAGGTTGAGAAGACTGAATCTCAGAAGGGGAAGGACTCTGGCCTCACACTAGGGTAACATTAGATTGGAGGCCAGTTGGTCTGTCCACAAAGCCTGTGCTGGTCACAGCTCCTGATGCTTTCTATTGGGCAGGCTTTCTAGAAGTTCTCATCACATGGTGCTTGGCATCTGACTTTTTCAGTTATTCCAGGAGCTCCTGTTTCCTTTGCCCACTGTTGATAGTGAATCCTAGAAAAGTCAGACCTATTTGCCAAATCCCAGTGTCCCAGGGACAGAGGAAGTAGGAACAAGGAAACATTGAAAGCCTCAAGAAGGGAAAGCAATCTCAAAACTTATTATACAGCCACAGTAGTCAAAACTGCCTGGTATTGGTTCAATGACAGATACATAGACCAATGGAACAGAATTGAGAACCCAGATATAGAGCCATCAACCTATTATAGTCAGCTGATCTTTGACAAAGGCCCAAATTCCATTAAATGGGGAAGAGAATGTTTGTTTAATAAATGGTGCTGGCAAAACTGGAGATCCATTTGCAGAAAAATGAAACAAGATCTGTACCTCACACCATACACAAAAAATGAACTCCAGATGGATCAAAGACTTAAATGTGAAACCTAAAACTATACAGTTCCTCAGGGAAAACTTAGGGGCAAATTTAAGGGCCCCAATATATGGCATAAATAGACTATCAAGCATAACTCAAAATGCACAAACAGCAGAAGAGAAACCAGATGATTGGGACCTTCTAAAAATTAAATTTTTATGTGCTTCCAAAGACTTCTCCAAAAGAGTCAAAAGAGAACATACGGATTGGGAAAAAAATATTTGGTAATAACATATCTGACAAGGGACTTATCTCTAGAATTTATAGAACACTCCAACACCTTAATAACAAAAAGACAAACAATCCAATTAAAAAATGGGCAGAAGACATGAATAGACACTTCACCAAGGAGGATATTCAAGCAGCCAACAAACATATGAAGAAATGCTCACGATCATTAGCTATTAGAGAGATGCAAATCAAAACAACAATGAGGTACCATGTTGCTCCAGCACTAGTAGCAAAGTTCAACAAGACAGAAAACAACAAATGCTGGCAAGGATGTGGAGAGATTGGAACTCTCATACACTGCTGGTGGAACTGTAAAATGGTACAACCATTGTGGAAAACAGTGTGGTGATTCCTTCAAAAGTTGAAATTAGAAATACCATTTGACCCAGCTATTCCATTACTAGGTATATATCCTGAAGAAGTAAGAGCCGTGACAAGAACAGACATATGCACACCCATGTTCATCACAGCACTATTCACAATAGCCAAAAGATGTAAACAACCTAGGTGTCCATCAACTGAGGAATGGATATCCAAATTATGGTACATACACACAATGGAATACTTTGCAACCCTAAAGAATAATGTAGAATCTGCAAAACACCGCATAACATGGATGAACTTGGAGGACATTATGCTGAGGGAAATAAGTCAATCACAAAAGGACAAATATTGTATTAGTCCATTATTGTGAAAGTCAAGGAAATGCTTATCTATGGAAGGACATTTTCTTTGTTGGTTACTAGGGGTGGGAGGGGATGGGAGGGAACACTGTTAGATAGATAGAGATAAGTTTTGATTTGGGTGAAGAGAAGGGCAATGTAGCAAATGTTAGTGATCAATATAGTGGCATTGAGGAAGAGAAAGACATAGAGAGGTACGTGGGAAGTACAGACAACAAAGATGAACCCTTTTGCACATGTAGTATGGCATTGTCAGTGAAGGCAAACATGGATATATGGGTGGATAGATGGGTGGACAGGCTGAACGATTAGGTATGTCTATGAAGTGGGGAGTGTACCCAAGAACATGTATAGGATTGGCAGACAATGGTCCTATAACTTTATGTGTATGATCTGAGTTCCCAGGTGTATAGTGGAGCTGACAAGGGGCAAGGTTGCAGTCACTGCTTGATTACAGCCAGTTACTCAGAAGGACTGAGTAGCTGAAACTGTGGGCCCGGGACCATAGTCACAGAGGACATCAAGCTCAATTGGCATAACATACTACACAAAACATTGTTCCACCTCCTATTATGACGAGTAGTGACTGGGATCTTAAAAGCTAGCAAGCTGCCATCTAGATGCAACGATGGGTCTCTCCTCGTCCAGAGTAAACAAGAATGAAGAAAACCAAAAATTAATGGAAATAATTAGTCCTACCTACTGATACACCATCAGATCTGCAGCCTATATGACTATGGAACCAGAAGAACTAGATGGTGCCCAGCTACTACTGTCAACCACTTGGAAGAGGATCTATGTAGGAAATCATGGATAGAAAGGGAGAAAAATGTGGAACAAAACTCAAAATCATTTGGAAAAAAAAGGGGGGGGTGGTGACCAGGTTTGCTGGTCTGATATAGCCTGGGGAACCACTGAGACTATGGCCCCTAGCTGCCCTTCAGGTCTGGAATTGAACCCATGCCTGTGGTTTCCAGCCAAACAGAAGACAGGCATATGAGTTGAACATTTACCTGAGGTAGATACACTGCTTGGAGAGAACAAGCATGGGAGAAAGAAGAGTTGCTTATGCACAGGGAGACAGCTCAGGGGGCAGGAGTGCACGGAGGGATGGATACAGGGAAGAGGTAACTATCGGGAAGAAGCAGGAGGGGAGATGTTGCATTGTGGTAAACTGTGGTCAATGTCATGAGACAAAGTGTATGTGAACTGCTGTATGGAAAGTCTATTTGCTCTGTAAATTTTCACCCAAATCACAATAAAAATAAAAAATAAAAAAATAATAAATAAATAAATAAAAAGAAGGGAAAGCATTTCAGAGACCAACAATGTGTGTGAGGCACCACATCCATCCACAGAGGGTGTGGAGCATAATTCCAGGAAGTGCCATCCACAAAACACTCATGCCCAACTGACCCAACCAAACAGCAGCCCTGCAAGTGCCTCCTACCCTCATGGCCTCTGCAGTGACCAGCTCCTCCTCTGTCAGCTCCAGGGCGTTACCAGTTGCTCCCTGGAAGAAGTGTGAGGCCAGGATCATCTTGCCATCCTCAAACTGGATGTTCTTCACCAGCAGCTGTGCAAGGAAGGATTTCACAGGGACTGTGATCAGACCAGTGATGATGACACCAAACCAGGAAGATCCTATGCTGGGTGACCCACATACTTCAACTCCAACCTTCACAGTAAGGTAAGACTAGAGCATCCTGACAAATGATGAGGAAAGTAACTCAAAGAGGTGAGCTCACAGTCTTAAGGGCACAAAGGAAACTGCACAGGAGAAATCAGACCATGGGCACCTGCCATACTCCTTGCTCTTTCTTTTCACCCCACTCATAATCAAAAACTCTATTCTTTTTTAGTGTAATGGTTTTATTATATACAAAAATTATGCATACTCATCAGAAAAAAGTAATTTAAATACTACATTGAGTGTCAATCAAGAGAACAACAACTTGTACAATAGCCCAGCTCCCAGAAACCCTATGGAAACATCTGGCAAACATCACAGATAACCTTCTGGAATACAGAGGTAGGAAGAGGGGGCAGGTGAACTCCTGGACAGTGGCGATGCCCACATTTGAAACTGGCTCTGTAAGTACAGCACTCTACACATGGTCTAACAGAAATGGGGCCAGGTTCCTTGCCTGACCCAAGCCTCAACTCTACTGCCTTTTCACAATGTTCTAGAGCTTTCTGTGAGCCAGATCCAGCTGGAACTTCCTGAGAGATGCTTCAACCAAGGATCTCTACCAAAGGTGCCTTCCTTTGCATTGCCTGTTTCTGTAGATGTTGTAGCAGATGTAGTCAGTGCCCACTCAGGGCCCTCACCAGGCTGGTAACATCCAACCACCTGTGGTTTTAAGCATTGGCTGCTAATAGCCCACACTGCACCTTCTCTGAGGCTCTCTGTGGATGGATAGGAACTGTCACACAGAGAGGCTGAAGACTTTGTGACTTATGGCTCCTCCACCCCACCCCAAGGCTGACTGATTCAGTTCCCACTCCACAGTGCCCCATGAGGTCAGGCTAAGGCTGACTTTTCCTGAGCCCTTATCTTTGCCTTGTGTTTTCTTCTGCTTCCCTTCCTCCCTCCCTTATACAATCTTCCTGAGAGTTGTCCCTCAACAGATCACTTACTTGCATGACAATTTGGATGCTGCTTCTTGGAGACCTGACCTAAGACAGATATCATTCTCCACTTACCCTAATCAATTATGAATATATACACTACCCAGCCACTGTCCATCAGACATTACCAGTAGCTGGCTAGACCCTCTCGTAGTATGGCAAGCAGGGAACACCACAGTCAGTACCTACCAGCTCTGAACAATACCACCCCACACTGTGGCTAGCCAAGGGATAGCATTGCTGGGGTTGTTGAAATTCCAAAAAGTGCCCAAAGATCCCTTTCCTGTACTCCTTTCCCTGCTCTCAGCATCTTCTATAAGAGGAAGTGAAGGCCCAGACCTTCCTAACCCCTGCACAGTGTATGTATTAACAACCCAGTACCAGGGCTAAGGTCATGCACTTCAGAACCAACTCTGTCAAGAACTAGCTGGGTGACCTTGGGTAAGTTATTTAAATTTTCCTTGCTTCAGTTTTCTCCTCTGCAAAATGAACATAATATTAATAGATACTCATGGGGTCATTGAGATGATTAAATTTAATACATATAATTGTTTTAAATCAGTGCTTGGCACATAGAAAGTGCTCAATAAATAGTAGCTATTATTATTAGTTTTAGAAGGTTGGGCAATCTACTTCTGTAGTGATACTGCCTCAGAAACCCAAGGAGGGGTCGCTATGAGTTGGAACTGACTTGACAGATTTTTTTGGAATCTTAATAATAAACTGAAAAAAAAAATCTTACTGCCATCGAGTTGATTCTGACTCATGGCAACCCCCATTGGGTTTCCAAGGCAGTAAATCTTTATGGAAATAGATTGTCCCATCTTCCTTTCATGGAGAAGCTGGTGGGTTTGAACCACTGACCTTCTCATTAGCAGCCACTACACCACCAGAGCTCCTTAATCCTAATCAACACTAATACAGAGCTTGATATGTGCCAGCCCTGAAACCCTTGCCTTGGCTGCCAGTATCAGGGGCCTCATCTCACCCACTACATGTTTTACATACACTAAATCACTTTTTATAATATTTCTACTCACAAGGAAGGAATCCAAGGCACAGAGGTTAAAAGCCCATACCCAGCAGCTCTTAGACATTCTGCTAGACTGAAACTTGGCCCCCAATTCAGGTCTCCCTAGTTCTCTCTGGTTCTAAGTTATATGACAGCCATACAGGGTGCCCAGCTCTTGAAGGGTAAGTAGAACCTGACCTCCCAGCAACAGAGAAATAGTCCTAGTAACGACCAGCAGTCACTCTGTGCTTAGGCCAGCCCAGCTGCTGAGGTCTAGTTGGGGTCAAGCTTGGTTCTGCCCTCCCTGGAGTGGGTGGTCTCATGTTCTTCACAGCAGCCTGGGTACTTCTTCTGGGTCCTGGGACCAGGAAGGGAGTGTGCTTGTGGGCCCCAGCAGTGCCATTACCATCCTGTCATCATTCCCAAAGAGGAGGAGTCCTGCTTTTGTGATCACTCCTGGCCGGTGGGCTCCTGTGATGGGTAGAGCTTCACCCTCAGGCACCAGACCTGAAGTGTTCAGGGTCGAGTTGAAAAATGTGAGCTTCTGTTGAGGAAAGAAAAGCCAAAAGGTAATGAGTGAAATGAGGCCCCTAATGCAGGCAGCCAAGGCAGGGATGTCAGGGGTAGGATGAAGAGGGGGTGGAGTGGAGGATCATGTTGGGCGAGATAGAGCAAAGGCAAAGAGCCTTGAGCCACCACCATGGCCTGGGAGCTTATGGCAAGCTGCCTCAGGCCCTTCCTATCACCTTTGGCAGAGACTGCAGGTAGAGAGACAAGGGGAGAATACCAATTCAGTGGTGCTGATCATGGAGTGAGACTGACTTCCTTGCAGCGCCACCAAGCCTGGTCATTTTGGTCAGGAGATGGATTTGCCAAAGCAGAAGGTCTTATGGTGGGGAGGGCAGCAGAGTTCCCAGGGACAATGGCATTCAGTGGGAGGTCAGGAGTTTGGGCAATTTGGGACCAGAATACTAGCTGCCAGTTTGGACCTCTGGTGGCATAGTGTCTAAGGCATTTGACTGCTAATCAGAAGGCTGCCAGTTCAAACCCACCATCCACTCCTCAGAAGGAAGGTTGGGCAATCTACTTCCATAGTGGTACTGCTTCGGAAACCCAAGGAGGAGTCGCTATGGGTCGGATCTGACTCCACGGCAGTGAGTGTGTGTGTGAGAGAGATTAGATTATGAACCTGCCCCTAGTCTTGCTGTCCCAAGCTCCTCCTCAGAGATGTGAGTAACAGGGTGCCATATTGTAAGCATCTGGTTTGCCCCAGGTCTTAACCCCTGCCCATAGCCCTGAGGCTGCTGCCCCTTCTGCTCAGGGCTTTAGACTGAGAAGCCACATCAAAGTCATATCTGGGTTTGGTGTCTTCTGAGCTGAGGGTGGAGAGTCAAAGTCTTTTACAACCAATAAACTCACTTGGTTAGTGAGGGGCCTGGGCCATGAGACACACAAGATGTTAATCCTTTAGATAGTAGGTGGATAGATCTAGAAGGTCTTGGGAGAGGGGCTGAGGTGGTAGGGCCACATGGGTGGGTGTAGGGGTCAGGCAGTGGCTGTTTACCAACCAGAACAAATATAATTTGATATTTTTGCAGCCAGTGGAGTCATGTCAGTGAGTCCAGTTGAATTTCAGCCATGCATAGCCATACCTGTCCACAGGCCTCAGTCCAGGCACCGGGCACCTTGTCGTTCCCACGGATCCAGTTATGAATGGCTTCGGCTGGCTGGTCCCAATTGATCTGCAGGGCCAAGATATGCTTATGTGGTCTCCCCTTCCCAACTCTCTAGGCAGCACTTCCAGCCAGCTATCCCTGCCCCAGGTGCTGACCCTTGGATGGTGGACGACACCCTAATCTGGGTGTCAGTAACTTGGCTTCCTCTCTGAGAATGGCCAAAGTCCCTGAACTGGTCTGGGCCCCTCCTTTGGCATCTCAGTTATGAGTGCTCTCTGGCCTTCAGTCTCTCATGGGTTTAGTGAACTTCATAAAGAATTTGACAAAGTAATATTGTGTTGTTCAGATGGCCAAGGCCCTACATAGTCCCCTCAACAGAGGCAAAGTACTCAGGCTTGTCCCACAGGGTCCCACCCACAGCTTGCTTAGCCTACAAGCCTCAAAGACCATCCATCTTTCAGGACCCCAAGAGGATCTATTATAGATCAAAAAAACTAAATTCTCTCACATCTCAATTTAGAGACTTCAAGCACCTCAAGACTGAGGTACTTATTTTCCACCCCTCTTACCCTTCCACAGGTCTCACCCCTCTACATGTCTCCTAACTTCCCCTCTCTTGGGGTCCTGCCTGTCCTTTTCTTCTAAAGAGGAAAGAGAGGAAACTGAAAAGGACCCTGTCCCCTGCCTTCCCAGATACCATGCTTTCCTCCCTCTATGGCTGTGCCCAGGCTGTCTCTCCCAGACAGTACTACTTTCCCTTGCCTTCCACAATTACAGCTTGCACCACTCAGCTTGAACCTCATCTTCTCTAGGACACCCTCCTAGCCTTGGGTAGCTGCCTTGCTCTCTGCCCACTTCCCAACTCATGCATAGGCAAAATTCAGGGTAGGAAGATGACCCAGCGCTCACCTTGGCTGTTTCCTTCTTTTGAATCCCTTCATAGGTGGCCCCTTTCTCAGGCTGAGGGATTCTTGGAGCTCTTCCCTCAGCAATCAGCCTCACAGCCTGCACCTGAGAAGAGCCCAGACTCAGTCAGCTCCCCAGCATCAGATACCGCCCTTCCTCCTTTCCTCTCATATCCCAAGCTCTACAAGTCTGGCTGTATAGCACAGTGGCTAGCACCCACAGACACTCCAATATGACTATTATGTGAACAACAGGAGTCAACTGAGTCTAAATCCACTGCAAAATGCACACAAGACCCTTCCTGACCTACCTCATAAGGTATTACAACTGTGCAGTATAACTTACATAAGTTTTGTGTGGGTGTAACATACAAAAATTTTCATGTTGTTTAAAACCACATGATAAGTTTTGAGGTACAAGTTTGGAGGTCTGAGATGAACCAGGAAATAGTTTCTGTTAAAGGGAAGGAAAGGAGGGTGGGGAGGGGGCAAAATCCAGGAAGGGGTAGGTGACTGGGTACACCATGAAAGAGAGGCTAAGGGAAGAACCCCCAGTAGTACCAGACTAAGAAGTGATTTTCCTATCAGGAATGGCTAATTCAGTGCTGTCCAATTGAACTTCCTGGGATGATGGAAGTGTTCTATATCTTCACTCTCCAACACAGTAACCATGACCCATGTGTAGTTACTGGGCTCTTGAAATGTAGTTAGCCAGACCGAAGAACTGAGTTTTAATTTGAATTAATTTAAATTTGAAGAGCCACTCCAAAGGATAGTGTTAATTTTTTGCTGTGGGCTATGCAATGTAACCCCTTCTTATTTCTCCAATTAAATCTTCAGTCAAGTCTATTTTGCTCACTATGTGGGAGAGTATACAAAGAGGATTCCAATTTAGCACAGCTCAAAAAAAAAAAAAAAAAACACAGCTCACATGGAACAGGAACCAGGGCAAGGGGAGAGCTGGCACTGGCCTACAGTGAGCACTTAAAAGTTACCATCATGCTCACTGCTGTGTGTGAATCACTTTTGTGCTTAATCAATGAGCAATTCAAGTACCCTCTGTCTTCACTCATTGCTGGCCTGCCCACATAGCTGCTGGAGCACTAGCAGCCCTACACAAATACTATAAACCCCTGAGCCCTCCTTGATCTGCAAGATCAAGTCCCACAGCCACTAGCTTGAACCTTATCTTTTCTAGGACACCCTCCTAGCCTTGGGTAGCTGCCTTGCTCTCTGCCCACTTCCCAACTCATGCATAGGCAAGATTCAGGGTAGGAAGACGACCCAGCGCTCACCTTGGCTGTATGATGCACAATGCCTGCCTGCATCTGACACTTGCCAGTTTTGTCTGTCCAGAACTCCTTCCCTATTCCTCTGTAACAAAGCTTCTTTTCTTAAGGAGAATACATCCATGTGACTAGAATTAAGCTGATATCCCTACTCCAACCCACCAACAGCAAGAAGCAGAGATTGAGGTTGACCAGAGTACTCCATCACTCTAGCTAGTGACTGGTTCAGGATGACCATATGACCCAAAACATGTCAATCAGTGTCTCCTCTAACTTTTCACTCATGAATTCTAGGAGAAAGAGGTATTCTCTTCCCCTGGAGGGGTCTTTTGGTGATGCAAATGGTTAAAGCACTTGGCTTTTAACCCAAAGTCCACCCAGAGGTGACTCAGAAGAAAGACTTGGTGATCTACTTCTGAAATTTCAGTCATTGAAAATTCTATGGCACACAGTTTTACTCTGACACACATGGGTTGCTATGAGTTGTAACTGACTTGACAGCAAACTGTTGTTCCCCTACCCCAGAATTAGGAGCTGTAATTCTTGAGCTACCAGTTACTATCTTTCCTCCCATTTGGAGGCAGTCATTCTGAGAATGAAGGTAACCAAACAGAGAAACGCAGAATCAAAGGGTGAATAGAGAAAGAAACAGAATCCTAATGAAATGGCATCAGTTCCTGGACTGCCTTTGTTCTTGTTTTGTTGCTAAAGTCTTTTGAGTTGGGTTTTGTTAGTTGTGCACAAGAGTCCTACCTAATATAATACATTATTAATGCTGTAATTCTGTCTCTTTGACAATCTGAAAGGAGAAATTTCCCTCCAGAACCCAAGCATTTGGAGAATAGATTCCTGGCCAGCTTTGTGACTAGCACTAAGCGCCTAGAGCAGGAACCTAGGCACAGAGAAGACCTGCAGGAATGTTGAGGTGGGTTGTGACTCAGATCCCAGCCCTTACCATCCCCTTGATGCCTTCAGGGAAGAGGAAGCGGTTGTACAAAGTGCTCACGGTGTCATCTGGGAGGACCTCACACTCCTTCTGGAGCAGAAGATCCCCAGTGTCCAGACCATCATCTGCCCAGAAAATGGTGAAGCCTCCTTTCTTGTCTCCATGGATGAGGGTCCTAGGAGGCAGAAGAGTGACCATCTGGGTGTGAGGGACAGAGAGTGAAGATGCCCTGTAAGCAATCCTGTGGCCCTGTCCTGCAGCATGTCCTCTTGCCCCCAGAGGAAGAAAACCAAACCAAACTCACTGCCGTTGAGTCAATCCTGACTCATAGTGACCCCTCCATGGGTTTCCGAGGTAGTATCTCTATGGAAGTTGATTGCCCAGACTTTCTTCCAAGGAGTGGCTGGTGGGTTTGAACTGCCAGGCTTCTGGTTAGCAGTCAAATAAATGCCTTAGTCACTATGCCACCAGAGCAGAGGAAGGGAGGAGGAAAATATATTTATCAAAACCAACTGGGGATTAGGTGAGTAGATATTGTGCTGAAAGCTCTACATGCATCTATAAAATCATTCTCACAGCAGGTGTAACATGTATTCTCATTTACAGATGAAGAAACTGAGGCCCAGAAAAGGGAAGGGATGTGATCTAAGGTCAAAAACCAAAAAATCAAACTCACTGCTGCCAAGTCGGATCTGATTCATAGTGACCTCTCCTTGGGTTTCTGAGGCAATATCACTACAAAAGTAGATTGCCCAATCTTCCTTCTGCAGAGTGGCTGGTGGGTTTGAACCACCAGCCTTCTGGTTAGCAATCAAATGCCTTAGGCACTACACCACCAGAGCTCCTGATCTAAGGTCAGGGAGGCTGAATTCCAACAAGACCAACCTAACTAAAATCCCACACTCTCTTCTCAGCTCAATGTCTCCTCCACCAAGAGATCTTTCCTGAACTTCCATCTAAATTGGCCCCACCAGTCAGTCTCTTCCATACCCCCATGCCATTATCTTCAGATTATCTTGTGTATGGGACCCTTTATCCTTAATCGATCCCTTTCCAAGTAGGATGCTGCTAAGTTAGTTGGGTGGAGGTTAGGAGCAGGACTTGCGCCTGACTATCTGAATTCAACTGCTGCTCAGTAACTTCCTGTGTTCTCTCAGCTCCTTAACTCTTTATGCCCTTAGACCTCCAGGCATGCCTTCTCCACAAATTTATTATGAGACTGCAAAAGGCTTAGCAATGCCTGCCCCAATAATTTTCTCTTATTGATAACACTTCAATCCAGAGCCATAGGCAGCTCCTCCAACTGTCCAGCTTCTTCCCTTTCTCTCCCCTAGCCTTAGAGGCAGCAGCTGTGTCCTGCTAGCACCATGTCAATGATAGCTTGTTGTTGTCGTGCCCTCGAGTCGGACCCGACTCATAGCGACCCCTCCTAGAGTTTCTGAGGTGGTATCACTACAGAAGTAGATTGCCCAACCTTCCTTCTGAGGAGTGGCTGGTGGGTTTGAACTGCCAGCCTTCTGGTTAACAGTCAGGTACCTTAGGTACTACGCTACCAGAACTCCAGTACCTGATTAACGCTTTTTTTTTCCTTAATTAAATTTTTTATTAAAACAACAGGCATGTTGTGTGGCTTCTTCCTGGACCCTGACTGATAGTCTCCCTGCTCTGGCTCACCTCTTTCAACCCCTAGAGTGCCATGGTACTGATGTAAGTGAGATCCAATGCCAGCAGATTGGGCCATACTTGTATAAGTTGTCCTCACTTTGATAGGTGCCTGCATGATATTCATTCTATAGCACTTGAGAAATGCTTCAGGCTCAGAGGAATGACAGTTCACACTGATGGGGGTTCAAGTTGGGGATGACGGTTTTGCCCTTTCTCACCAGTTGATTGCCGAAGCCCCTCGGTGTCTGGGGAGTAGAGACGGGTGGTAGATGATGGAGCCATGCCGGGGGGCATTGATGATTTCCATGGGGATGAACTGGCTACAGAAGGGCAGGACATTGAGCTCGGCCCCCAGAGTCTGGTACTGGGCCATCACCTCCGGCAGAATCTGCCCTCGCACCCGCCAGCGGGGAAATTTGAACACTGGCACTCCATCCTTCTCGGCTTCCAGGCCTGTGGACAACATGTGAGAAGCTGGCCCTCCCTGACATCTCACTAGCTTCACTGCCACATCTGCCTTCCCACTCACATGGCTTCTGGACTGTCTCTCCAGATCCATCCCTCCTACCCTCCACCCACTGCCCTAGCTTGTCTCCAGCAGGCAGGTCTGTGGGCAGCACTAGCTGAGGGCATGGTTTCAGAGATTGCTTTGCTCATGTGACTTCTGTTGATCACCAGGAGCTCAGATTGTGGCCTCTTTAGTATGGTCCACTGTGCAGACTCTCCATTAGGTCATGAAGGCATTGTCTCCCTGACTTTCAACTCCTCCTTGTGGGGTTTCATCTTCAGGGACACTAAAAGACTGAAGGCTGGAGGGGAAAAATGGGTTTCTATGGGGTTCCTTTCCATGCAGCAATTTTTCTAGTTCTTGCAGAACCATCCTGAACACATGCCTTTGACTCACCCAGTGCTGGTGACAGGCAGCCAGTGTCTGCATCTAGTAGGTAGGGCCTCAGTGTACAGAGGCCTTCCCCTGCTCATCACCATTTTCTCCTGGAAGTCTGAATTCCAGCTACTCCAAGTGTAATTGCAGTTTCTTTCATCTTTTTATGCTAGCCTCAGAGGAAGTAGCTATTTCCCACCAGCATTACCTCCATGATACCTTCGAGTTCTCTTTTCTCTTTTCTGGACCCCAATGCCTAATTAAAACTTCTTTTTAAATTAAATTCTCTATTAAAATAACAGGCGAGATGTACAGCTTCTGACTGGCCCCTGACTGATACTTTCCCTGTTTTGGTCCACCTCTCTCAGCCCCCAGAGTGCTGCAGTTCTGATGAGGGTGGGGTCTGATGCCAGCAGACTGGGCCATACTTTCAAAACCTATCTCCACTGTGACCATGAAATTCTTCTGTAGGACATCTGAAGTCAAGGTCAGTGGCAGCAGAGGTCAAGTAGTAGCCCCAGCCAGGGCTCAGTATGTGCCCAGGGTCAGAGGCTGGTGTCAAAAGTCACTGGATGGCTGGGCTTAGGGCTCAGGCTGTGATAGGTCAAATAGTAGTAAGAGCCAGGGCTGAAGATCTGGATAGCATCTGCGGTTGTTCAGACTTAGCTCAGACTGTAGCTGGTTTGGGAGGCTCGCTATAACTAAATGAACTGTGCTTAACCAGCCCTAAATCCCCCTTTCCTGGTCCTGGCTTTATATCCTTACATCCTGCCCTGTAGTCTGTGTCCATGAGGCCTGGTAGCCAGTAAGTGTTCTTGGAAGGTCCGTTACCAAGCTGAGGGTGCCACCTGAATCCTGAAGTACTCAGGTGCCTGTTCAAAGGCAGTGGCTCATGGTAGTGACTCTCAAAATGTGTTCTTCTTCAAACCAGGTCATCAGCATTATCTGTGAACTTGTTAGATACACAATTCTTGAAATTTTCCCCAGACTTACTGAATCAGAGACTCTGGGGTGGGATTTCCAATGATGGTGACTGATGCCAGTTCACTTCTGAGAATGCTGCCCTGGGGACTCTGCCCTAGAAGTCCTTTCAGGCATGTGTGCTGAAGCTCAGAAATTTGAGCCTGAATTTGGCCCAGCTCCAGAGCACACATTGATGCTGGGACCAAGACAGATTCTTCATGCCCATCTCCAGAAAAGGGAATGCTTCATTAAAAATTTATTTATTTGTTCAATAAAGCATTTATTCATGCTTTATTCCAGAAAAGCCCCTGTAGCCAGGTGGCATCTAAACAGAATTCAGTACCAACCATGTAGAGCTGCTTTCCAGTCAGGGAAGCCCATAAATCCATCACAAGGGCACTTGTCTCTGCTCTCTGGCTGCTCACTTACCTAGGGGATCTGCCTTCCCATCCTTGTCTGGGACAGTGAACACACCCACCACTTCATAGCCCTCCTTCTTCAAGTGGCAGTAAACTTCCTGGCCAAATAAACTCTGCCCAATCACAGCAATCTTCATGATCACAGTGGTGGGTTGG